TCATCACACCCATGGGCGGTTGCAGAAATTTGGTTTGACCTGGGCATCAATAATTAGTGGGTGTGGAGTGGGTGTGGTTCCATACAATTTTGCAAGGAAAATGGGCAATACTGATCTATAACTTCATTGAGATGATTTCTTAGCATAAAACAACAAAGAAGCCTGTTGAACTACCACAGTTTACACTGGATGCCCACACCAGAATCATGAATATAATTATTGGTCAAAAAGTCAACCTGGGCATTGCCCCCTAATGCCATGTCCAGAAATTGCAATGGGACTTCCGGTCGTGTTAATTTAATGATATTCATTGGAATTACCATAGCAACGGCAGTTCAGCAATGGTGGATTGATAGGAAGCTTCACTACAAAGCTTGCTAACGTCTTTCTGGTACATGGATGGGACTTCACTAGATACTTGAGGCTTCTAGAATGCTAATTAATGCAATTGGTTATCGTAGTTTTCTCATATTCTTTTGTTAAAGTGGCAAGCGTGGTGAAAGAACAGGCTCTTCTCAACAAACGACCGTCTTACTTCAAAAAGGTCTAGAGACACTATTTGCTTGTATATATAAGATGTTAAGCACTCTTTCTTTCACTTTATTATTCCTAAGAGAAGAGGAAAGCACTTGTGACTTGTTGACTCTTGCTGCTGCACCCGTCATCATTGAAATGGCTAAAATTACTTCACCTTCAGGAGACAAATGTTCCAAACAAAGTTTTGAATTTCTTTATCTTTTTTGCATCATTGGGTAGTAAAAATTTTGTACTTTCACAAAATAAGTGAGCAAATTGTCAAAAATTGTTTGAAATTTAGATATAACCAGTCAAAAAGTAAAAAAATTATCATACATACATAAAGGAATGACAAGATGGCGGCACTGACTACCTCATCTTCAATTGGTAAATGTTCCACACAAAGTTACTCCAAATGTTGTAATATTTAGCAGGAACACAGGTAGATGGATGAAGAACAGCTACTGAAGTGCGCAAATTGATGATTCTTATTGTAAAGAAAGATATAGCCTAGTAAATGGAAATGTCCATTCCTGCCCTGTATAAAGTCAATCAGTGTTATACGGAGATAATTGCTCAGTATACTACTCCGTGTCCACTCATTTCTGGACATGTGGCGCTTTTCTCTCTGTCTATGTTTTCAAGAATTTTCTTGACTCACTTATTTTTGTGAAAGAAGGTATATAGGTGTTTTTGTTTTGTTCAGTAGACCTAATAAATATATTCTCATTTCATTTTGTCAACAGGCCTCATGTTTACATGACAAAATTAGAAGACCTCCATTTTTATTTGTAACCACCTTTTCTAGACTCTCGAACGGAGTTAGCTAGTAAGTCTTGGAATCATAATAGTGTATTGTTTGTTACATGGACTGAAACTATTCTCGTGTCAATGTAATGAGAAATGACTGAGATAATAGCCAAAAACTAGTTTTTTTAATATTAATTTTGTAACCACCTTTTTGAGACTTCTGCACCAGGTATGAACAAGTTACTACTTTGAGTGTATTCATTAAGGCCTCTTATATAGACTGTTTATGGTTTCATTTTTCTAGATGCTATGTTTCAAAAGTAATAATATATTTTTGCAAGCGTTTCAAAGGGTGTGGTTTAATTTTTAGTGAGAACTGAGTAGTGAAAGAATAGGTTATTTACCAAGAAACACAAGCAGGATTTCAGTGGCATTGATGAGACATTGTTACATGATTGTAAAGCTTTATATTTATGCTACCACAGAGAACTATCAAGATAGAGATGATGTACATTACAGTATGTACTGTAATGGTGATACAGTAAGTGCGGCTTATAATAATTGTTGTCAATGTTTTTATTGCTATTTTTATAGTTAAAATTTGTTGAAAGACTCATAATAATAATCAATCTATTGGGTCACTGAAGAATAGAATAATCATCAACAGTTATAATGATAATAATTTAAATAATAGTTTTTTTTAGTACTTAGCACAGTGCATTCTTTCTTGTAATAGTAGATCTTCACTTTTTAGAACTAGAATATCGATTGCAACTCTTGTATAGTCGTAGACCTGAACTTTAGTAAGTAATTCAACTGGATTTCTTCACTATTTTGCTTGTGCCATGCTTATACACGTGTAGTGTAAACGTCACAATACATCACTTCCGGTGCCAAGGATCGAGCGCATCCTGTTTCATATCCATGTGTGTATGTAGTATCTATGGTGCCGGTGTTGGAGGGTAGTTGGACCCCCCTTATTTTTGGACCGGGGGGTCCAAGCGCTCGCGAGTAGTTGGACCCCCCTTTAGTGTAGTTGGACCCCCCTTTAGTGTAGTCATAGACACTAGTTGGACCCCCCGCTTGCGCAGCTAGCACTAAGTCAGGTCGCAATCACGCACTGACTTACCAGCTGTACTGCTATGGAAGACTTTGAGTTGGTTTATACCGAAAATGATGAGACTTTCGATACATTTGATGACCTTAGGCTTAGCAAGGATGAAGGTATACCACATAACAGCCTATTATTTTTGTTTTATGTTATCATAAGATACTGACAGTGATACACAAAGCTCTAAATAAACAGACAATTCAGTAGTATGATAATATTAGTTAGTATTATTTAATTATGAAACTCTGTTGTAGACATAGGAGCTATAGATATTTCAGAAGTTCTTATTCCAGACTATGTCAATTCACCTCCCCCTGTTAAAGATACAGAGGAAATACTTTATGGAATAAGCTCACATTGGGGAAAACAGTACTTTCTTGATCACTATCCAATAATAGATCATACTAAATTTGATGAGTATGTTATTTTATACAGTATTTAATTTATAACTGTATAATTTTTAGAAATTGTTACTCAGTAGAAACTTTATTTGCTCAACTATAAAGTCAATTGAGGTTACAACAAGCATGCATGAATAGACTGTTGCTTTTTACATAATTTTATAGCCAAAGTTAAGAGAGCTTTTGTTATATATTGATATATTATTTTGGTATTCATTCCTATTATTATTTCCTAAGGTATTTTGATTACAGTTATTTCTAGTATTATTATTTTTGTTATTCTGATTATTACTACTACTACTATTATTATTATCAGAAGAGATTTTAGCCGGCCTTTTTACAATAAATCAATATTTACAAAATACGAAGGTCAAGCTCTCCCCATTCGGTCACTACAGCTTTATGCTCGAAATAGAATCAGTGAATTTTCTAAGTATGAGGAAAAGTCACTTATTTACCTCATGATTATTGCAGATGGATTGAAAATGACATGATATGATGGCTTAATCATAAATAACCAAAATTGCTATTTATATATTGTTTCTAGATAGATGAACTGTTGACCTACATCAATGGAATTGAAAGTAATGTATTATGTAAACCTGTCATAATAATTAGTCGATTTTCTAAAACTATTATTTGGCCAAAAGTAAGTTTTATATTTATATAATCTAGTTCTATATTTTTAATAGATCCTTGCTGCTTTGTTGATAAAGAATTTTAACTTTGATTACCTTGAGGTTGTAAAATGCACTGTTACACAACAATTACCTAATTAAATTTAATTTAATAATAACAAAATAAAATCTGTCAATACTGCATAGCAGGGCTGTTTAGCTGCAGCAATTTAATTTTGCTCTTTTAAGAAGCATCTATGGTGACAAGAGGGCACTGTTATGATCATGGCTACCGCTGTGAGGTATTAGCATGTGTCTTGCCAGCGCGCATCAAACGGCATGAAGGGGGTCCAAACATTAAGGGCGACTGGACGAGGGGTCCAAGGGAGTCCAAACAGAGTGTCCAAGCGCTCGGGAGTATACGGACCGGGGATCCAACTACTCGCGAGCGCTTGGACCCCCGGTCCAAAAATAAGGGGGGTCCAACCACCCTCCAACACCGGAACCGGTTTTACCGTTACGACCTTACGGTTTCAGTAAGGATTCTGGTACAGTCCCTCCTTACCTACTCCATCACTTTGACTAGGAGAATTGAAGAAGTTGGGATTTGGTTTGAGTCTAGTAGAACCAGCAGGAGATTTTCAACTGGCACCACGACTGGAACTCATTTATGAAGAATTTTGGATAAATGAGTGTGGTCTTATGTTGCATAGTTTGGGTGGGGCTGGTATTTTGCAAGAATGGCATCTAAAAGTGAGGGCCACTATTCTCTTCTCTTTGTATCTCTTTCATTCATTCTTTGTCTCTCTTACTCTCTCACTTACTTTACTCCTCTGTATCCTGTCCTTATTCTAACTCATCACTATATTACTGTTACTCTGTTACTGGTACCTCTCTGTTTTCTATAGACTATCAACCAGTGGAGAGAAGGGGGCACTCCACAGTAAAGGTAGGAGACTACCTATATATGTGGGGTGGGTACGGGTCTGGAGTACACTATGATCTGATGGAGGTGTATCACTTACCAACTGGTGCTTGGGACCAGAAAGCTACTACTGGTACCCCACCACCAGGTACCTGGGGCTATTCATCTAAAGCTATTGGGAAGGACATATATTATTTCGGTGGATTTGATGGTCGTTATCAAAACAGCTTACATTGTTTCAATGTTGATTCATTCAAGTGGAGGAAACTCTCTCCTTCTAGTTCTGATCATGGTCCAATGAAAAGGCGCTACTCTGGAATGGTGTCAGCTCATTTTGACGGTGAAGACTATCTTGTAATAATTGGAGGAATTGGATCATCTTCTATCAATATTCCAAAGCAGCCTGATGCTCAGTATATAAATTCTTATGGTGATTTAAGATGTAATGAGATACATTATTACAGGATTTCATCAGGTCAGTAATTCTTATCATTGATACACAATAGTTGATCAGTATTTCAAACTGAATAATTTATATTAATATGCATAAAACAGATTGTTAATAATTAAGTGTGTTTGTTAGCGGGTCTCTGTGTGTTGTGTTTGTGTGTGATTGTGACGTGTGTCTATATGTGACGTGTGTGTGTACTAATACATACATTATGATGTGTCTGTGTATGATAGTGCATATAATGTATGTGAGAATTTATGAATGTATGACGTGTGTATGTGACGTGTATCTATAATGTGCATGTTATGTGTGTGTGAGTATTATCATGTATCTGTGTGTGTGTGATGTTTGTATATGTACATGTATCTATTAAGCTAATGTGACATGAGTGTGTGTGTGTAGGTTCTTGTTATTTATTATCATTTTTAATAAAGTTCTGTATCACATGAGTCACAAATACCCACATACAATGTTCCATCAGTTTCCTATAATTTTTTATTTACAATCACAACTGACATGTACCAGAATAGATTAGTAATCTTCAAATAAGGACACCCCCTGGACCTTTCCTTCATGTGTACAGGTGTGGTGTGTGTGATGGTATGTGTATCCATACATGAGTGTATCTGTGTGCATGTGTTTTGAGAGATATAACATATATCTTAACCCAGCTAACCATAGCTGTAGCCTAGCGCTGGGGTGCACCTCGATTGGAATGATTGGTCAATGCCTGTGATTCCCTCCCATTGACCCTGGTTATAAGGCTGCCGTCAGATGGTCTTTACTCCAGTTTTATGTGGTTTGGTTAAATTTGCTATTAATTAATTTTGTTACCATTATTGTTGCTTGTTCATGCGTGTTAGTCATTATAATAAGAGGTGTGGTTTTTCTCACGTGACCCTCCAAAAGGACCGGCAGTCTGGCCTTGAGAACCAGATGTGGCAGGTTAAAATGTTTTTTTGGACACCCAACTCTCCCTGCTCTGCCAAATCCACTTCAGTCAGGTCATGCAGGCAAGATTTAAGTAATCTTTATAGTCTTAAACTAGAGTTGTTTTAATAGGCTGATGCTAAGTTTTTGTAGTACATGCATGTGTAAAACTGGTGTAGGCAGAGGCGTATTTAGGGGGGGGGGCTGAGGGGGCTTGAGCACCCCCCTCAGGGCTGGGCTCAGAAAAAATTACTGAAGTCCTGGACTCTTGCATCACTACCAAGCCTCTTAACAAAGTTATCTAGCCCCCTGATCATGATTTCAGCAGCTTCCAGTGCTTTACGGAGCAATCAGAAGTACCAGTAACATAGCAGTATGCTTGAAATGATCTTGGGCCCCTCCCATAATTGACGAAAATGCAGAAAAAGGCCGTTTTACTGCCGTAAAAGTGGGTGTGGCCAAAATCGCGGCGAGCTTCGCGCGCCCTTAGCACCCCCCTTCCCCAGTTCCTAGATACGCCCCTGGTAGGCTCTGTGGTTTAGTGGATATAGCCTTTGTTTGTAGATGGCAACTCACCTACATGTACATCTAGTTCCTCTGGGAGTGTAGTATGGGCCTGGGTAGCTAGTACTGGAGACCTATGTGGGCTTGGGTAGCCATTATTAGGGGCCATGTATAAAGTGCAGTGGTGCTTACCGTGCTTGTATAAATTACATGTACACAGCCAAGAATTTTACTTTGAATCATGACTGATATCAATCAGGATCAGCCTTGATACATTCCTGTGTCATGGATTTTGGGCAGCCTGTAAAGCAATGAGTCTAGTATGATACAATCATGATAGCCATCCATCATACAACCATGCTGGAGTACGGCCCTGGTTCAGCCAGAGCCATGCACAGACATGATTCAACATTGATGCCAGTCAGGGCTATATCAAAATAGATATCAGCCCTGAATCATTGATTTTGGGTAGTGGCCTGTATCAGAGATGAGAATTTTTGGCTGTGTATGATGCAATTAATTGATTAAATTTAATTATTCATTACTGTACATGTAATGTGTGTGTGTGTGTTAGTGTGTGTATCATGTGATAGTGATGTGTGTCTATGCATGATGTGTGTGTATAAATAATAATGTACACACATATACACATACATATGTATGATGAATGTGTATAATGTATGTGTATGTATGTGGTAAGTAAGTGTACATGAGTGTTTGTACATTATTATTAGATCAATGGATATCTCCTGTTGTTACTGGAGACAGACCACCTCCTATTAGTCACTTCACTCTAACCCCAGTTACTAATAACACTGCAGTAATGTTTGGAGGTGAGACTGATATTGGAAGAAGTAATAAACTGTACATGATAAGTTTCACTAAGATATCAGTGGTGAGTTCATACTGTAGTATAGGTTTGAATGTAACGATTAAACAAACAAATTAAGCAATTTCTATCAAAACTGCATTGACTACCTTACATACTAAATGCAATGTAGATTATTTTGTCACTAATTACTATTACTTAATAAATATTAATTAATTATTTTATTACCTCTTCGATTCTTTTACATTCTCAGGATATATTAGAAGTACCTAATCCTGGAGGATCAGTACAATGGCCTAAGGGAAGATGGGGTCATTCCAGTGTACTCATTACCACTAGTTCAGGACCACACTTACTGGTGGTGGGTGGATATCCTGCCTATGATGTTTGGTTACTGGACATTAACAAAAGAAAGTGGAAAGAACTGGCAAGTATTAAATTATGATGCCTGATAATACAACATAAAGTGATTAGCTAAATTTGTAACTCAAGAAGTTTGTAATGTACATGTACATACTATGATACTCAGTGAAAACTACTGATGAATAATGCTGGTATTCAGTATGTGTGTGTGTGTCTGTTTTTAGTGTGAATGTGTGTTTGTGTCTTTTTGTGATCATGTTTGTTTTTTACCTAAATATGTGTCAATATACATGTATGTGTGTGTGTGTAAAGATGGATTCACAATTGATAGAGTGTCAATGCTGGAATTAAAATATATTCTATTTTATATACATTGTGTACATTGTGTATGTACATACATGTATTTGTGTGTATGTGTGCATATGTTTTAATATGTGTATGTGTGTACTAACACATACATCATGTGTACATGTAACATGTACATGAGTGTGTATATGTGTGAGTTATTATGCATGCTTTACATGTACCTTTATATGTGTATGCATGTATAGATGTACATGTATGTGTGTTAGTGTGTCATTAGTATGTGTATGTGTATGTGTGTACATGCAGACACTTAGTAAGTTCTTAATTGAGGGCTCACATGATATAATAACAGACTCAGTTGTGTATACTTGTCTATTAATATATTGTGTTTTATTAGTTTTACTATGTCAGATAATATATACACCAATTAATAATTATCTTTTTAATTTTATAGATTAATCTACCAGGCAATGTTACTAACAGATACTATCATTCTCTCTCAGTGTGGAGTGTGACCCCAACTACTAACTGGATAATTGAGTTTGGAGGATTGAGCTATGGTTTAACAACACTAAGTGATAAAGCAGTTATTGAACTCAGTAAGTACATGTAGACAGTAGTAGATACAATGTGTATTGAATATGTGATGATAATTAGTAATGATAATAATTATTACAATAAAGTAAGCAATTCTTATGATAAATAATTAATGAGAGCATATGACGTATACCTATAATACTAATTTTTACCAATTCATTCCTGCTATGTACAATAGTGAATTATAATGACTGCATAAGATACAGAAATACTGATAATAATAGGGGCTAGAGTGAATGAAATATTATTATCAGTGTATTTATATACAATAATATGTTCATGTGGTTAGCTGTGTAAACTGACAGAGGTCACACATACAATGATTGAATCCATGAATAATAAGGTTACCATAGTAACTAACTGTAATTAATTTGTGAATTTTTATTGTCCACTATTTTGTTACGGTATAGGATATACTAGTGATAATGATTGGTTTACTAGTGTAATACCTCTGGACCAGTATCAAAATCAACTAAGAATAAGGATACTGAGTGATTCGGAGAATTTAGGATTAAGCAAAGAGGTTCAATTACTCAGAGGCCACCTGCAAGAAAGAGGGAAAGAATTTTATCAGGAACAGCTTCAAAGACAAATAAAAGTGAAGGAGCAGATACAGCAAGATCGAGACAAGGAGCAGCAACAGCTTCTTCAAGAAAAGGCAACACTTAGTCAGCAACTTGATGATGCTACCACTCTCCTTGAGCAAGCAGAAAAGGATAAATTAACTGTTGAATTAGGTACTATTGTGTTGTACTGTTGTTTATGTGTACATTGTTTACATTATAATACTAGTGGATTAGTTAATGTCAAGTATGGAAATAGTATCCTGTACTCAATAGAGGTCAAATTGTCTATGCATTAGAAATAATAAGATTTATATATACAATGAGCTCTGCTTATACCATATATGGTGTCATTAGCAATAATCACAGTACAGTGATTTTCCTTAAGCTTGCATGATAGGCAAGCAGAAATGTGTTATTCACATGTTCTGTTGTGGTCAGGAAATAAATGGATGCACCTACTTAAAATTGACCACAACAGAGACACATTTCTGCTTCTCTATCATGCAAGTTTATTGAAAATCACTGTACATGTATTTATGGGCTACTGTACATGCAGTACAAATTTATATGCCACGTAGCGCTTTATTTTGGCAATTTTGCTGTAAAATTGTAATTGGCGGTTTTTAATTTGGCCATTTTTGAGCACACGTGCATTACTGAGCAGGCACATTAATGATTGGCAGTTTTAATATTGGCGATTCTGCTTACAAACCGCCAGTCACCAAAATAAAATTCCGCCAAATTAAAGCATTATATGGTAAGCAATAAATATGTTTTTGTTTTCAATTTTTGTATTTTTATTGATAATAGAACATAGTGAGAAGCTTAAAGCTAAAGTTGCTGATATTGAAGAGAAGAAACAGATTATTACTGGTTAGTGTATCAACAGTACATACTGTTAGATGAGACAATATTCTTTTAATGTAGAAGATTATGAGAAACTGAAACTTAAATTTGCCAAACTATTGGAAGAGAAGGAGGAACAATATCTCAAGGAGAAACAGATCATTATTGGTTAGTTAACTATACACACATCATGTATTAGATGAGAGAATATGTTTATTGTGCAGACGACAATCAAAATCTCATTTCTGAGAAAGACAAAGTTATAGCCAAACTGACATCAAATGAGAAACAGATCATTACTGGTTAGTGTATCATCATCAATCAATAATAATTATTAATATTCCATTAATTTTTAGACCTTAAAGAAAAGGAGTTGTACATAGCAAAACTAGTGAAGGAAAGACAAGAGAGGGTCCTCAAGCAACCTATCAAAGAGACTAGTTCCATTGGACTACAATTTAATTACCTGATCCCTTCAATGGGTAAGAATTTTATTGTGTGACTGACTGACTGACTGTGAGTCTTTTTACTACTGATAGATAATTTGGACTGTTTGAGTGATGTACAGGTAGCAGAGAAAAAGCTGTTTCTAGTTCAAGGAGAGAAACCTCAACTAATTAATTGGGAGAAATATGGTCTAAGGATTGGAGTACAAGAAGATACCTTATCACCCACCGATACAGTTGAGGTAGCAGTGGTCGCTCTTGTAGTAGGAGAGTTTGTGTTTCCAAAGAATACAGTACTAGTGAGTGCTGTTTATGCTGTTTCAGTATCCAAGCTTCTCCCCAAGCCATTGCGACTAGAAATTGAGCACTGCATTAATCTGACGGGACGACCAGGTCTTACACGATTCTTGAAGTTTGCTATAGCTCCTGTGAGCACACCCAGTCTTCCTTATCATTTCTTAATAGTCAAGGGAGGAGAGTTTAAACCTGATAGTTGGTATGGATCCATTGAACGTAAAGAGTTCTGTTTGGTAGCTATTGTTGGGGAGAAATTTTTATCTGAATCATCAACTAATGGAGGCGAGCCAGAGGAAGAGAAGGAGGAGGAGGAACAAGCAGAAGAGGAAACTGAGGAGGAAGTAGAAGATGGTAATAGTGATTCATCCAGTGATTCTGATAGAACTAAAGATCCACCAGGAGCTAGCAGTGGAGGACAAGGTGAGTAATGAGTGAGTGAGTGTGTACTAGTATATAATGAACTGAATCTATTTCACTATAGGAGAATGTACTAGTAATGAGGGAGTAGAAGAAGAGGAGGAGACTGGAGGTCAGCCATTACATGAGGAAGGAAATGAAGAGCAAGATAATGAAAGAGTAGAAGAGTCAAAGGTTCATAAAGAACCACATCATGAAGAAGCAACTGCTCCAATACCTTGTACTGAGATTAGTTCAGATTTTAATAGTAAGGATATTCATATACATATACATCAACACATTGAATGATAACTGATCTTACTTGTATAGTTGAGTCTAATACTGTTGAACAAGTAAATGCAAAAGAAGAAGAGAGACTTGAAGGTGATGATACCAGTATTGATCCAGTTGATGATGGAGAGGATTTAAGAGAAGAAGAGGAAACTGAACCTCAGCCTCAAGAACAAACCCCTGGTAATGAATCACACACAATTGTAAAAGAACTGCATGCATAATTAATGATTCGTCTCCTTATAAATTTAGTTGGGACCCAATCCACTGGTGTAGAAGAAGCTGCAACTTATGCTGGACTGGTTTATTATGAGGAGAAAAGAGCTGAAGACTTAGTGACTTTTACTACAGCTAAGAAATTAAGTGCTCTCCTTGAGGTATGTGTATACATGTACATACATTAATGATTCAGTCATTATTATGTTCACTGTTTTAATTCTATAGTTCATTGAAAAGAAGCACGTACAAGCTGAGATTGGTCAATATGTTTATTTTTCTTTTATTC